TTATGCTCCACTATAGCCTTGTCCAATCTTTCCTCACCTTAGTCTGCTATCATACCACTTTATCCTCTTCTCTCTATCAGGCATGTCTGCGACACACTTAAATACTATTCAACCACTCACTGAGTAATGAGTTCCACATTCTCGCTACTCTTTGACTGAATTCCTGATTAGGTTTCTTCCTGCACGTTTTATAACAAAGGCGTCTGTTTATGTTATTCCCTGGAGGAGGGAACATTCTCTCTGCATCCACAACTTTAAAGACCTCAATTAAGTCTTCAGCCATTTTAATTATAAAAAAACCTTTCGAGCCTTTTATGGCGTGTATACTCAGAAATCTTCTGTGCATTTTCTCCAGCACCTGCATATTCTTGTAATGTGGCAACAAGAACTATAAGCAGTACTCCAAGTAGGTTACAACTGAGGTTCAACAAAGGATTAACATACCTTCTCTAATTAGGAGTAAGTACGAGTAGCAATGTCCCTGCTATCACTACCCTAGATCTGGTCATCTGGAAATTTATTCCGCGGTTGCTTAGCTTATTCAATACATCTCATTTTACAAACATTTTAAAATACATTCATCTCATGATTCTATGTTATGTCTAATCATTCTACCTCCTTGGTAATTACCACAGTAAAATAATTATTTTATGTTTCTGCCATCTCTCAAAAGTTCTCTCTTGTCTACCCATTAACAGCCCTACTCCTATCACAGCCTTCTTTTATCAGTTTACTTTGAAGTATTTTGCTATTTTGTTTCATGTTGCTTGATAAATTACATTATTCGCTTCTTTGGGTCTTTTTTGTCTTAACTCCTGATCTTTTCATTTCTCTCACTCCTCAGCTCTATGTATACTTCATGTTTATCATTTTTATAACCCTCAGCTGTTCCCTTGTATCTTTATCTATAGAGTCACACTGGTGTTTAGTTTGTTCTTTTGTTTTAGCACATTATACATTTCATTTATTTTTTAAGTTCTTCATGAGGCACTAGTGTCACTGGCGAAACCAACACTGATTACCCACCCTAATAGCCCTTGAGAAGGTGGTGGCAAGTGATTTTCTTAAACCACTGCAGTTCTTAAGGGGCTGGGACACCTAGAGTGCTATCAGGAAAGAATGCCCAGGATTTTAACCCAGTGACAGTGAAGGAACAGTGATATATTTCCAAGTCAGGATGATGAGTGGCTCGAAGTGGAGCTTGCAGGGTGTGGTGCTCCCACATGCCTGCTGTCGTTGATGATTTTGGTATCAGAAGTTATGGATTTGGAAGAAGCTGTTGAAAAAGCCTTGGCAAAGCCTTGCTACAAAGCACAATGGTGATGGACGCAGTGAATGAAGTGCCTGGATGGTGTTGTCAGTCTTCATTGTTTATGAAACTGCACCCATCCGGCCAGTTTGTTTTAAATGTTTCCCTTCATTCCACATTAGCGTTGGCTAACAGTTCTGCCATTTTATTTTTCCCAAATTATAAGCCCAGCTCCTCAAAATACATTTTTCTCCAAGCTATTGATTTGTTTTCTGTCACTCTTATGTCCCTCTCTATCATCATTTTAAAACATCATGGGCAGGATTTTCCAATGAGTGGTAATCCTTCCTTTTTATAAAAGAAAGGAGCTCCACGATTTGAGAGGAGATTCTGCTCAGGGGCTGCTCAGAAATACAGACCTGTACTTCCATTCTGACTGGGCTTTTGTAGTGTGGAATTATCAGAGGATGACAAACCTCGCTTCATTGTCACAGCAACGAGCTGCCATTTTCTGAAAGTCCTGACAGTCACTTTGGCAGCTGCATAAGGCAAGGTTGATGCTAGGCTGCAGTGATGTTAGAGTGCCAGCTGGATTGGTGATAGGGTGCCTGAGAGTAGGATGCCAGGTGGTTGGGTGATAGGGTGCCCACATGGGGATAGGGCAGTATCAGGTGGATAGGACATGTGTGTCTGCATGTGTGCCTGTGGCTGCGCAAGTGAGATAGACAGACAATTTTGTTTTGTCTTGCTATTAGCATTACGGTATCATGCGTCAGTCCAGCTAGCCAGCCTCCCCATTTTCCTTTCCCTGTCATTTCTAAATATATTGCATAAATGCTCAACTCCCAGCCCTGATTTTCTGCAGCCATGTCTCAGTAATCCCCACTGGTTTCTCCCAAAGCATTATAACCACCAGCTCTCCTGTTATATTCTGCACACCATATGCAACGATGTACAGAAATTGCAATTCATTTTAATAGACTATCCTCTCGCTTTAAAGGGGCAGTTGGCTGGACAGCTGGTCTGCAATGCAGAGTGATGCCAACTGTATGGGTTCAATTCCCGCACCACCTGAGGTTACCATGAAAGACTCTCCTTCTCAAACTCCCCCCTCACCTGAGGTGTGGTGATCCTCAGGTTAAACCACCACCAGTTGTCTCTCTGTAATGAGAGTGCAGCCCTATATTCTGATAGGACGATCGTGACTTCACCTTTTAACTCGCATTTTATGTTAACCATCTTTTTAGAATTCTGTTATACTATTTACTATGTACTTGCCGTAAATAACCTGCCTCATGTTCCTTCTTCCAGTGTTCCCCTACCCATTTCTTTTACTTCTCAGCTGCTTACATTTCTTATTGATGCCTCTGGCCATGTTATTAGTTTAATGCCTTTACCTGGTTGTCTAGGTTACAGTGCAAACTAAAGCTGTAATCTGCAAGAAGGCAACAGTGAACTGGTCAGACAGGCAGGAAAGTGGCAAATTGAATCCAACCCAAAGAAGTCATGGGTCATGGCCTACACACCTGGCATTAAAATTCTTCTATTATATTATCCATTTGTGTAATGGGCAGGACATCTTTATGGTTTCTGTTAGTGGTGAATACCATTTGTGTTGCTGCTGTGTAGTAGCAGAGTTAGCTTCACCTGTTACTCAAACATTTATTACATCTTAGTCTACTACAGTAATCTAAAGTAGACCAGTCACTTTTCAGGGCTGAAAGTGATGGCTTTACTTTTCTTTATTGGCTGAGGACTAGAACAGAGAACCAGGGAGTTTGTGCTTGAAACATATAACGCATCATGGCTAGAGGATTGCATGCAGTCCTGACCACTACATTACAGGGAGGACGTAACCACATTAGAGAGGATACAGAGCAGATTTCACAAGGACGTTGTCAGGAATAGGGAAATCTAGTGACAAAAAGAAGTTTGGATAGTTTGGGATTGTAATCTTTGGAAGAGAGAAGGCTGAGGGGAGATTTAATGAGGTGTACAAATTTGTGAAAATTAGGCAAAGTAGAAAGGACTTATTTCTGTCAGTAGAGAGCTCAAGAACAGAAACAGCAGCTTTAAAGTTGTTGGTTTAAAAAATGAATTAGAGGGGATTTGAGGAGTCTTTTTTCACTCAGGGGTGATGGTGCCTAGCTTGAACTAAATCAGACTCTTAGGATATTGGCCCGAGCCCAATACAAGGTGAGGCTGCTGCTGAGCCAGCCTTGGGGAAGGAGAAGTCCTGATGTGATAGAGCAGTGAAAGTAATGGTGAAGATGGCTGGTCACAGAAATCTGACAATTTGTAACTACAGAATTAATAACTAGTACATAGACAGTGGTTTCTTAGGACGAGGGAACTGAAGACATCAAGGAGAGCAGCAAATGACGCCATCATAATCCGGGTCTGATGTATGTGTTCTACACACCACACCAAGAGAATGAGATGAACATAGAATGAAGAAGGAAGCTGGACACAGTCACGCAACAGAGAAGGCCACCCCTCAGAAGAGAGTGACTTTGTGCATTTCCTAACAGCAATCCCTGTTGGAGACAAGGGTGATACCTGTGAAGATGAAAGGCTTCAATCGTTCCCTCACCATCTAAGCTTTAAAGGGCGACACAGCGTATACTGATGCTCTACCCTCACCTGCCAAATCGGGCTGCTGTTGATCCATACCACTCACTGGAGGCAGTGATGTCTTCATCGGCAATTGTACCATCCTGCATTCCCAATGCGTAACGACACAGGCCTGTGACAATAAAGGACACCTCAGTGACAAGTAACTTTCTCCAAGAGAACTGCAAAATTACACTTCATATCCCACACTGAATATATCCCACCCAATCAAATATTGCCACTGTGTTCTGCTCTATCAAGAGGTTTGAGAGGTGTCAGTGACTATATAAGGAGAAGGCCAATCAGCCCACTGAGCCTGTGTAAGCCCTTTGCAAAAGCTCACCAATTGGTCCCTGTCAGATAGACTACAACTACAAGGGGATCTGTCCCCAAGTTTGCATTATTGGATTAGTAAGCAATGCTGAGAGATTCAAATCCCACCATGACAGACTGTGAACTTGAATAGTGTTTAAAAGAATACTGGGAAAGTTTCTACTTTGGGTCAAATCAGCAAACTGAGTGAAAACTGCACTGATGACTATACCAGTTTTGCAAAGTGAAGTGACTAGTTCACTCGAACTCATTTTGCAGCACCATAAATATGAAATATTTCATGAACCAATGCAACTGGGCAGTGTTTTCCACATAAATTGCCTTTTCTTTGAATTTAAAAATCATTTCTTAATTATTTGAGAGTGACGAATCTGTTGCATTTTTATATATATAAAACTGGATGTGGGTTTATTGCAAAAAAAAAATGCTGTTAAAATAAGTATCTCACTCACCAACCGAAAATGACCGTAAAAAATCTACAAAACTAGTATGATGCATTTAACCAACTTAAAAGATTGCAGGAACCTTGTTGGACACAATTCCTTTGATTTGCAGCAAACTGCCCAGCAAAAATCAGTAGAACCCAGCGTACACTCAAGCAGGACAATCTCAGTCCAAAGGGCCATTAAACTGCCAGATTGTTGCAAAATCCCAACAAGCTCATGAACATAACTTTGAGCAGGAAACTTGCTGCTGCATTTACCACTCTGACCTAGGTGATCCAATTGCATTCTAACACGGCAATGTGACTGGATTAGTAATCCAGAGGATCAAGTTAATGCCTGGGAGACATGGATTCAAATTCCACCAGGTAGAACTTAAGTTAATTACTTAGTAAATCTAGAATTGAAAATTATAACGCTGGAACTGAACAGGAAACTATCATTAAAAACTGAAAGAACTGCAGGTGCTGTAAATCAGAAACAAAACTAGAAATTACTGGAAAAGCTCAGCAGGTCTGGGAGCATCTGTGAAGAGAAATCAGAGTTAACATTTCGGGGGGTCCAGTGACCCACCCTCAGTTCTGAGAAAGGGTCACCAGACCCAAAACGTTAACTCTGATTTCTTTTCACAGATGCTGCCAGACCTGCTGAGTTTTTCCAGCAACTTCTGTTTTTGTTTCAGAAAACAATCATTGATTGTTGCAAAAACCCATTTGGTTCACTCAAGGAAATCTGCCAGCCTTACCTAGCCTGGACTACATCTGGCTCAGTGGTTGGGAAGGCACAGTGGCTCAGTGGTTAGCATTACTGTCTCACAGCGCTAGTGACCCGGGTTCGATTCCAGCCTCGGATGACTGTCTGTATGGAGTTTGCACATTCTCCCCATGTCTGTGTGGGTTTTCTCCGAGTTCTCCAGTTTCCTCCCACAATCCGAAGATGTGCAGATTAGGTGGTTTGCCCATGTTAAACTGCCCCGTGGTGTCCAAGGATGTATAGGTTAGGTGGACTAGCCATGGGAAATGTGGGGTTACAGACATAAGGTGGGGGCGCTGAGCCTGGGTGGAATACTGTTTGGAGGGTCTGCGCAGACTTGATGGGCCGAATGGCCTCTTACTGCACTGTAAGGATTCTATGGTTCCGGACGTACAGCAATATGGCTGACTCTTACCTGCCCCCTGAAATGCGTTTAGCAACCCCTAGGGGCAGCTAACAAATCCTGGCCTTGTCCACATCAAGTGAGAAAATTAGAGAAACAAGACTGATGTTTAATTGTCCTCTGAAGTGGTTTAGCTCACTGTCCAGTTATAGCTAGCCACTGTCACTAGGTTACAAAAGGCTCTCCAACACTTTTGGGAACAAACAAGTGAGTGGCAGTAAGAAACCCAACAGGAAGTGGGAGTAAAACTAAATCATGTTTATCACTCTCAACAGGGAAATGCTAGCAGTACGGTAATGTCACTGGACTGTTATTCAAAGGTTCAGGCTAATGGTCTGGGGACATGACTGTAAATCCCATCATAACAGGATGAAAAGTTAGTCTAACGGCAACCTATGAAACCTTGTTGATTGTTGTTAAAATTTATCTTGTTTCCTAAATGGCATTCAGAAAAGGAAATCTGCCATCCCACATGTGACTCCAGACCCGCAACAATGTTGTTGATTCTTAGATGGCCCAGCAACCACTCAGTTGTGTCAGATATTTGTAAAAGCTAGACAGCCCAAACAGCATCAAACTTAACACTAGAGAAAAAGAACAGCAAACACAGCCATATCGACTCTGCGATAGCTTCCTTACTAACATTTGGGAGCTTGTGTCAAAATGGAGAGAGCTGTCCCACAGACTAGATAAGCATCAGACTGATATTATCTGCATGGTATGATTCATTGACAATGATATGTCCCAGACGCGATTGCCACCATTCCCAGGTTATGTTCAATCCCACTAGTAGGACAGACCTGATAGAGATGGTGGTATAGTGGTATACAGTCAGGAGGAAGTTATCCAGGGAGTCAATATTGACTACAGACCCCATGAAGTCTTTTGCTATCAGGTCAAACAGACAAGGAAACTTTCTGCTGGCTACCACATACTGCTGCTTCCTCGGTTGATGAATCAGTACTTCTCCACATTGAACATCAATTGAAAGACACAGCGAGGGTGGCAAGGGAACAGAATAATCCGAGTTGGGGGAGGGGGTTGGGGTTCAATGTCCATCACCAAGAGTGGCTCACCTAAAAATGAAATGTCAACCTGTTGAAGATGCAAAACAGCTTCTTGACGACTTGTGTTGAATGTTAGAAGCAGCAAATGACAGACACAGCTAAGCGATCCAACAACTAAAGGATCAGATCTAAGCTCTGCAGTCCTGTCCCATCCAGTCGTGACTGATGGTGGATAATTAACAACTCACTGGGAGAAGACAACTCCATAAATATCCCCATCCTCAATGATGAGGGAGCCAACACATCAGTGACCATAAGGAGGGAGCAGGAGTAAGCCATTCAGCCATCAAGTCTGCTCTGCCACTCAATGAGATCATGGTTGATCCGATATTCCTCATATTCACTTTCCTGCCTTTTCTCCATTATCCTGGATTTCCTCACTGATTAAAGATCTGTCCATCTCAGACTTGAATAAATTTAATGACAGAGCTTTCAACAATCCCTGTGGTAAAGAATTCCATAGATTCACAAGCCCCTGAGGGAAGAAATTCCTCCTCTTCTCAGTTTTAAATGGGCAACGCCTACTCTGCAATGATGTCCTCTGGTCCTAGTCTCTCCCATAAGGGGAAATAACTCTCCACATCTACCCGGTCAAGTCCCCTAAGAATCTTGCATGTTTCAACAGAGTTTCCTCTCATTCTTCTAAACTCCAATGAGTACAGATGCAACCAACTCAACCTCTCTTCATAAAACAGCCCCTTCATTCCCAGGATTAATCTAGTGAACCTTCTCTGGTCTGTCGTCAACGGGAACAAAAACTGTTCCCAGTATTCCAGCTGTGGTCTAACTATTGCCTTGTATAGTTTCAACAAGACCTCCCAATTTTAATACTTCATTCCCTTTGAAGTAAAGGCCAAAAAAAAAATGCAAAAGATAAGGCTGAAACATCTGCAACATCTGACATCTCTGCAGGAGTTCCTCAGGGTAGTGTCCTAAGCCAACAATCTTCAGCTCCTTCATCAATGATCTTCCGCCATCATAAGGTCAGAAGTGGGGATGTTCGCTGATGATTGCACAATGTTCAGCACCATTCATGACTGCTCAGATACTGAAGCAGTCCATGTCCAAGTGCAGCAAGACCTGGACACAGCCAGGCTTAGGCTGACAAGTGGCAAGTAACATTCGTGCCACACAAATGCTAGGCTATGACCATCCTTCAACAGCGGAGAATCAAACCAAACCCCCTTGACATTCAATGCCATCACCACCACTGAATTCCCCATTGTAAACATTGTTCAGAAGTAAACCATTGTTCTGAAACTAAACTGGACTAGACCTATAAACTTTGTGGCTACAAGAATAGGTCAGAATAGCTAGGAATCCTGGGATGAGTAACTCACTTTCTGACTCCCCAAAGCCTGTCCACCTTCTGGAAGACACAAGTCAGGAGTGTGATGGAAAACTCCCCATTAGTCTGGATGACTGCAGCTCCAACAACACTCAAGAGGTTTAACATCATCCAAGATATAGTATCTTCAGCAGGTTTCCAGAGGGAATGACTATCTTTTTGGGGGAAACAATCTCCCCTCCTTTAACCATTACTGCAGTCACCACATGGCCCAAATTGTGAGCAGCTGACTCAAACAGTGAGGGGACAGAATGAGCCAGGTGTTCTCCGTGTCTCAGTTACTCACTGCATGAGCAACTCCCTGTGATAAAAGACAGACACAAAGGTCTGGACTATCAAATCATCATCATTAACAATCTCTTACCAGGATTGACTTGAGCTTTAGAATTCCCGGGATATTGAAGCATTAGCAGGAAGCACCAAAGCATTATTGGTAGGGAGGCACTGTTCAAACTGAGAGAGAGAGTTGACTTTGCAGCAAAGGAGTTTCTGGTCTACATCTCTGGAAGGAAGGAAAATAAGTGCAATAATTGCCACAAATATCAAACAAGAAATAAACAGGACGATAACCAGCAACAATATGTAGGGAACACAAGCAGTAATCACAGGAATATTAAGCAGTGAACATAAAGTTGGAGGGTGTCTCTGTGTCTGTACCCATGCAGCTGTACAATAACAAGCTTTGTTTCCATCCTTGCTTTTTGTGTTGTCCAAGTTCTGAGTCTCTCTTAACTCAATGATGAATGTAATAGCTCTGGTCAACACTGTGCAAACACGGGCTTGGCAGCTCCCAACAAATTCCTACACTCGATCCCTTACAGCTTTTCGTCCTCTCTCGCTCTCTCAGGCTTGGGCTCCTTCCAACGAAGCTGACGTAACGTAAGAAACTAAAGGGCATTAAACAATCTGCCTTGGTCATGTGCTTGGGTCAGAGGATGTGACCTGTTCTCCCTCCTTCGACCTGGGATATGAGAGCAGGAAAACAGTCCAAGCTGTTGCTTGGCAATGAATCCTGAACACGCAGGCAGTGGCAAAGGCTAGCCTATACCAAGGAATGTGCCATTGTTTTTGTGTTTTGCAATCAGTAGGCTGCACTCAAGTCAGTTTGCATACAAATCAACATTTCATTGGAATCCAGAATCTCCTTCTAGATAAACATACAGCCTGTCGCAGGCTCAAGGGCTGCTGACTCCCTAGTGACCCACCAGCTTGTCGAGGAGCAATGTGTCACTCCAGTCAGTTTAAACACTTTGCTGGTTTAATGGAAAGTAAAGGAAATGCACTGATTGAAATGAATTTGCCATCCACCTCACTGCAGATCATCTCAAACCAGACCTCTGTTAACAGAGTCCATTGTGTATCAATATGTGAATGGTTCATTTCACAAATGACTGCAGTGGGGATGCCAAAAATGAATATCAACAGAGCACATGAACAGACCGTGCCTCCTTCAGCACCCATTCCCTGGCCCTCACTGGGAAATAACTGGGTTCATGGCAAAATCCTCCTGATCCCCTCTTCACCAGTTTTGAATCAGAATTGTCCAGAATTCTGAGAGATATTAGTTAACCATAAGCTCACCGATGGTTAATCATTCCCCACGATACTTGTCTAATCTTCTCCCCTGGTAATAGAACATTAAACAAATTTCAGCAGAACCAAGTCTAAATGTTAACAGGTTCTGGATGCTTTGTGCATGAAGGCCAAACTAGCCACAGTCATAGTTTTCCATCTTCCACTTAACTACTCCTCCCTAATTGCCCAGAGGGCAGTTAAGAGCTAACCACAGTGCTGTGGGTCTGGATTCACATGTAGACCAGACCAAGGACAACAGCTTCCTTCCCTAAAGGATGTTATTGAGCCATGTGTGACACAAAGTGTTAGGGAATGTTCTTCCCCTAACAGTTTACGTACTAGCAGAAGTGTGTGAGGAAATCAATACATTAATACAAAGTGGCAGAATGGGTTTAATCAATATTTTCTTTCTCGTAAATCTGGACTTTGAATAATATAAATGCCTTATTCTCCTACTTTTTATCTACCTGCTGTCCCTTGGTCAAGTTATCTAGGTGACCACTTCAGTCTCTAGTTGTCATACTGATCTTCTGATATCTATTACTGGATGAGCAGTAACCTCCACCAACCAAATATTGGCCAATGTCTTTGGTTTCCCATCTGTAACCTTCTCTATAGGCACTGCTGGAGGCTGAACTAGGTTGTCTGCACTCTATATTATTGATGATCTACTAGGGAAGGATGAGGATCCTGGGGTTAATAACTCTTACCACTCTCTTCGGGGAGCAGAGAAATTGGTGGTAAGAGTGTCACAGTTGCATAGCACTCTAGCTTCGAACGGTCATGGGCTCAAGCTCCAGTGGGAGCTGAAACAAAAACAGAAATTGTTTGAGAAACTCAGTAAGTCTGGTAGCATCTGTGGAGAGAAAGCAGAGTTAATGTCTGGTGACCCTCCTTCAGAACCAGCGGCTAGGAAAAGGTGGCATTTATGCTTATAACAGACAGTGGGGAGGAAAGGAATGGGCAGATAGGTGAAGACAAAGCCCAGAGATAGATAGAGAGACAGAGTAAGGCACACAATGGGATTCATGATGGTAAGCTAGGGAAGGAGAAAAACTGATAATGGGGACCATGAGTTGGTGAGAATGGGTTGGCTGTGCTGAAAGTAGCCCTTGTCATGACAGAACTTGGGGTGTGCGGGTGGGTAGAAGACCAGGAAGGAAGTGTTAAGGCTCTGAAGTTACTGAACTCGATATTAACTCCTGAAGGCTGCAGGGTCCCCAAGTGGGAAACAAGATGTTGCTTTTCCAGCTTGTTCTGAGCCTTGCTGGAGCACCTGAGACAGAGATGTTGGCCAGGGAACACAGTGGTGTGTTAAGTGTCAGGCAACTGGAACTTCAGGGTCATTTTTATGGCCAGAACACAGGTTGTCTGCAAAGTGGTTGCACAGTCGGTGTTTTATCTCAGGCTAAATTAGGTAAATTAGCAGGTAAATCACTGCCTTACCTGGAAAGTATGTCTGGGGTCCTGGATGGTGAGAAGGGAGGTGTTAAACAGGCAGGTGTCATATCTTCTGCGATTGCAAGGGAAGGTTCCATGGGGGTATGGGGAGATGTTAGGAGTGGAGGAGGAGTGGGCCGTAGTGTCCTTGGGGAATGGTCCCAGCAAAATGCTGACCAGGGAGGGAGGGTAATGTGTGTCTGATGGTGGCATCCCATTGGAGGTGATAGAAACGATGGCATATGATTCTTCGGATGCAGAGGCTGGTGGGGTGGGATGTGAGGATCGGGGAGGAAAAAGGTCGACATTTCTAAGGCCCTCTGTGGAAGGTAGCATCATCAGAACAGATGAAATGGAGAATGAGATGGAATCCTTACAGGAGGCGGGGTATGAAGATGTATAGTTCAGGTATCATAACTCTAAGTTTTAAGTCATTTCTGAGTAAAGGTAAGAGTAGTCCTCAGGTGGCATGTGGGAATCTTTTAAAGGCCAGTTGATTAGCGTTAAAGACCAACATGTTGCTTCCACCCTAAACGTTTTAAAAAGCCATTCCCTACGGACAAGCCCTACATGCACACAGGATCTGTTCAGATGAGTAGGGACATGACGGACACCTGAAAGTGCTGAAGAATGCCCTCATTAAAACGGGATATGATACTCAACTCATCTACCACCAGTTCCGATGGGCTACAGTGGAAAAACTATAATGACCCCCTCAAAAATCGGACACGGCACAGGACCGATAGCGCACTCTTCGTCATCCACTAGTTCCCGAGAACGGAGAAACTACTCCATATTCTTCGCAGCCTCCAACACATTATCGATGACGATGAGCAACTCACCAAGATCTTCCCCATGCCTCCGCTTCTTGCCTTCAAACAACTGCCAAACTTTAAACAGACCATTATTCGCAGCAAACTGCCCAGCCTTCAGGACAACATTGACCACAACACCACACAACCCTGTCATGGCAACCTCTGCAAGACATGTCAGATCATCAACATGACTACTCCCATCACATGCATGGCAGATACTCATGTGACTTGGCCAACGTTGTCTATCTCATACACTGCAGGCAAGGATGTCCCGAAGCATGGTATATTGGTGAAACCATGCAGACGCTATGACAATGGATGAATGGACACAGTGCAACGTTTGCCAGACAGGAATGTTCCCTCCCAGTGCGGGAACACTCCAGCGGCCAAGAACATTCAGTCTTGGATCTTCGGGTAAACATCCTCCAAGACAGACTTCAGGATTCACAACAACTCAGAGTCGTCGAGCAGAGGCTGATAACCAAGTTTGGTGCCCATGAGGACGACCTCAACCGGGATCTTGGGTTCACGTCGCACTACAGGTGACCCCACCACATTATACACTCTCTCACACACACACACACACTCTCTTCCCTCCATCGTGCGCGCGCGTGCACGCACTCACTCTCCCGCGTGCGCACACACAAATCTGTGGGGTCAATTTGCATTTGCAGATACATTCTATTTTATTCAAAAAGCACACCATTTGTAGACAGTCAATGGGGCAGTTTTTCAGTTCCTACTTTGGAAATAAAACCAATCTGACTCCAAGTTGATACGCAGCCAGATTCTAAACAAGACCTCATACCTAAAATGCATTGTGTGACCTGAAATATCACCTCTGGTATACTGAAGGAACTAATAAAACCTTTAGTTATCTCAGGGCAGTGTCTTGAAAGAAATTTGGGAATTTGAGTATTAATCCTTTGTAACTGATTTCAGATTTAACAGCCATCTTAGATTTGTTCAACACCACATCAGTTCTATGACCCTTTGATCTTCGGCTTATAAATTCTGTGTCTGATGCCACCTCTCTCACTGACACCTGAAGAAGGAGCGAGACTCGGAAAGCTTGTGTCTTCAAATAAACCTGTTGGACTATAACTTGGTGTCGTGTGACTTCTGACCATGAAAATGAAGGATAAGGGCGGCAAGATTTGTGAACCTTGGAAGACAAGAGAAATTGTAAGGCTACTCAAAAAGAAAAAGGAGGCGTATGTAAGGTTTAGCAACCTGAAGCAGATGGAGCCCCTGAAGAATGTAAAGTTAGCAAGAAAGGAGTTAAACAAGGAATTAGGAAGGCTAAAAGGAGCCATGAGATGTCCTTGGCAAACAGGATTGGGGAAATCAAGGCATTTTATACTTATATAAGGAACAAGAGCATAAGCAGGTGAAAGGTAGGTCCACTCATGGACAAAGTGGGGAATTTATGTATGGAATTGGGGGAAGTGAGTGTGGTCCTTAACGAATACTTTGCATCGGTATTCTCAAAGGAAAAAGACATGGTGGATGTTCACTCCAGAAAGGTATGTTGACATTCTAGGCCATGTCAATGCAAAAAAAAAAGGCACCTTAACAGATACACGAATAGAGAAGGAATAGATGGATACAGACCGCGTAGAGGCAAAAGGTTTTTAGTTTAGACTCTTCTGTGGGTTCAAGGGCCTGTTCC